AAAGTTATTAAATTAATGATAATTAATTAATATAATGAAATAAACTACTCGATTTTGAGTTATTTGAATTTTCGGATGGAATTACTATTTCACGCTATTTCAAAAAGTAAGAAATAGCTCAACCGTCTCTGGTTTAATTTAAGTTCTGAATATAATGTATTACTTCAAGGTGTGATAGAAATAAAGACCAATCCTTTTTTCCACACACCAATGAAAAACGCTAAAATGGTTAAAGCGTCACTAATGAAAATACATAAAATGCTAAGGGAATATAGGAAAAATGTTAACGGGTGACCTGTAGGTATGAAAACAAAAAGTGTCCAACATTTTCTGACCACGACTTCCTCTCAGTATAATTAATTCTAACTATCAAGCAGAATATGATAGGGAAACATATTTTCACCGAATACGAGGGTTAAATGGAAAAAAAAAAAAAAAAAGTCACAAGTGACAATTTTCCTCCCCCCGTCTTTGGTTACATTGTTCCAAAATGTCTGCAGGTGCTCTTTTCCGCGGGAAGACTCTAGCGTTGCAATGAAAATTTACCCGCTGCATAAATTCATTGTATTTCTTGGAGAATAAGCTTTTAACATGTAGGTGGGGGCTTTTCTTTCCATTAAAGTCTCTACTTCCATCCAGGATTTGTTTCCCAAGGAAACAGAAACATGCGTTTAGAGTTTAGAATCGATTTTTAATATAATTTAATTGTTAAAAATAAAATTTTCAACATCAAATTTCTGCTGAAATTGCTGTTCAGTTACATTAAAGAAGCGCCGGAGTCTTCTTATTTAGGGTTCCGGTGGATTCCGGCTATAGAATTTTGATTTCTCGCCAGAGTTAAGAAGCGTTGGAGTCTGTCTCTGGCGGAATTTAAGCTCTGACTGTTGTTATATATTTCATAATTATTAGAAAAGGATTTTGTTAAAGAGTTAACTACTTTAAAATTAACATCTCGTGAAATTACGTGGTTTTGTTTTCTTTTCCATTATATATATTAACGTGACAGAGCGGATGCCAGAACTGTTGCAACTAATATATTCACGCCAGGCGGCAAACTTTTAGAACCCAGTAATTTTTTTTCCAGAAAAGTAATAGACTTTCATTTGGAGGCAAAAGTCATAGCCTCCGTCTTTCAAATGTGTCCTTTGCCTTCTCCTGTGGTGTTATTCACGAATATTTGTAACGGTAACAGGAGAGCTTTGTTTCTGTGGTTTCAGAATCAAAACCCAAATTAAAAGAAAACTATATTTTATGAGATAAATAATATTTCTTAATATGGGATACAAGAATTTGACAATAAAGGTAAATTAGAATTATCAATAAGGGTTATTATTTATGTTACACATTAATCAGTCATCAATATTGACTGACATTGATCAGTCATCATATTTTATATAATTTTCAGCTCTTTACTGTTGTTATATATATACATAAATACCTCATATTTATTTAAGACATCAAATGATAAACCATTGACGAAACAACTCAGAAGTGTGAGAACAGAGCACTAAAATATTGTCAAAATTTTATGGGTTCAGTCATGATGCTTCCGAGCTTAAAACAGAGCTTTACGTACACTCTTTGCTTCATTAATCAGTCGCTTACAACGCTCAAGACAATTCACCTATACTATTGTATAATGTATTTCTCTCGCCTTCTTAGCATGCCTTCGTAGTGCGGTGGTCTGCAAGCTAGGCGCGTATTCTAGAGGTCCGTGTTTCGATTCCCGGGGAAGGCGTTGCTCATTTTTCATCTCTCTTCCTTTCAAAAATCCTAATGTCTCTAAATGCCCAAATGCGGTAAGATAGCTTTACCGCAAAGCAGGTTTAGTTTTACCAGAAGATGGCAAGGAGAGGCAGGGTTGCCAAATTTGGCGCAAAATCACACATTTGTCAATATTTGGTGACAAAATTGCCGATATGCCATAGACGGACGGAGAACATTCTAGAACAAATTTTAACCGGTTTTCCCCAGAATGTTCTCGAAGGCAGGCCAAAAGCTATATAAACCCTGCTTGAACGCGGAGTAGCAATTCATCGCGAGAGTTTATTGTCAGAGAAGTTTAAGTCATCTGAGTTCTTGGCATAAACGTAGATAAAATTTGTTTTCATATTAGTTTAGTATTCCTCTGAACAGAATTGTCGGAAAAGTTCACCTATACTTTCAACCAATCCGTGGAGTTCTGTGGAAGTACAATGGGTGGGGGCGTCTCCTTTGGGATGTCTCCTTCTTCCTCATTGTTTTCGAGGTTCGATTATTCATGGCTTCAACTTTTTCTGGTGTCTTTGCTGGATTATTAGCAAATTTTCACTCGTTGTCCGGAAAACTGCGTTGGTTTACTGCGTCATTAACTTTGGGTTTCTTTGAAGATGTAGAAACTTTGGGGGGTAGCTCGTTTTTAACTTGGAGAGATTTAGCGACTTTGTCCGTGACTTTGCTAATTCCGCCTTTTCTTAAGATGTCTATAGAAATTTATGCCATCTTCTTCAGTGATCGATTTGTTCTTTTCCGTTTCGTCATCAGACCTGGTCTTTGCCGAATTCTTTTTACTCTTTCCCTTCTTAGTTTTGGCTGGGCTTTTCAGGAATTCCTGGCGTCTTGAGCAAACTGCTCGGGTGTGTAATCTACGTTGTCTAAAAATGCCAGTAGAAGGACAAATCTGCTTTATCCACGTATAGCTACGAAATGATTAATGTCAGCTGCCATTAAATAAAAATTAATGTTATTGATTATGTAAACCATTTAATCAGCTTACGATAAAACGTTTTTGAGGTAATGTAAGATGCCTTATAAAAGCGGCATAAGACCGTAAGACCGGCATAAGACCTTTGGCATAAGACCATAAGACCGGCATAAGACCTTTGGCATAAGACCGTAAGATAGTTATCACAAGATAAAAGACAGTATGCTTACCTTTAAAATACCCTTCTGAAAACTTCACTGATGCTACTAATATGTTAAATTAATTTAAAAGAAAACATATTTGCTTAGTTTTACTTGACGATATTCGAGAATTTAATTTTTTAGTATATGTTCAGTATTCCATTACGTATAGATTACCATGTCATAAATGCAATCCTTACTTTTCCTTCTGAAACACTTTCAGCGATGCAGTCTTATATGTAACTGTCTGTCATAGCGATAGGTATTACGCTTTATTTGTATGTATATAATATATAGGTACAACTTCTCTTCCCTTTTTCAAAAATAGTTGTTTCTACTTAATCGTTGAATGTAGTGTGAAAGAACCAACATTTCTGGGCAAAATATTAATCCCAGATAAAAGCTGATAATAATCCAAGATAAAAGCTTGTTATCACATGGAAGACTTGGAGGTTTTTCATAAAAGTCAACGCCAAAAAAGATCAAATTTTGATGTCTACTTACAAGAACCTTAATTAAAAAAATAATGAAGAACTTTTGGCAACATCAGGAAGTAGCCAATTATACTACTGGCCAATAAAATATTCTCTTTCATACACACTATGCAGCATCTCTTAATTCATTCTGTAGCTAAGCATTTTTTATTATCCCAGAAGGGCTATTACTCTCAAAACGGATTTTGTATTGAATCGCTTTAAATGTCTGAATCACTTTTCAAATTGTTGCCACCAAATATTATCGCCCTGTATTATTTTTAAAGAAACTAAATAATGAACAATCTACATAAATGTAATGTTTGTAGGTTTCTCGCACTGTAAAAAAACAACGGTACATAGAGTCATCAAATTCTGAAAAACTTAGTTCGCCACTCGAACATAGACACTTGGATGCCCGATTTTGGAATTTGAAATTTGCTTTATTGTCTATTTCAGAAGTTATACGAATTTTTGATTAAAAAACTCAACAATTTCAAAGCGAGCAATGGCAATACTATAGGGAATAAAAAATTTTCTATCTCCAGCGTACAAGACTGTCTTTCGGAAATTCTGAAGCTATGCTGTTTTTAAATATTTTTAACACAATGTGGCGTTAACTCAAATGCTCTCGAAACGTGTATGTGTCTGTAAATTAAAAAATGGCACGTTTGGGTGTAATATAAAATCAGAAAGCTTTTAGATTTTTTGTTAACATTTTCAGCATGAAATAGCTTTACAACACTTTATTCTGTTGTAATATTAAAACTCGTAATTGAATTGCAATATAATAAAATGCAACAAATTCAGTAACTTGGGCACATGTGGTACAAAGACTGAAAAAAAAAATCTTACAGCAAATGATATAATGAGTAAAAAGCGCGGTTCAACTCTTAGAACCAAAACTGACTTCCCTCAGCTCAATGGAGTAATTTGCTCAGGTATGCTGCTGATTTTGTTTAGGCATTTTGCGTCGTTCACTTTAAAACGGCGTTTCACTTTTTAAATTCTTGCCGCCAAATATTAGAGCCATGCATTATATTTAAAGAAATTAAATAATGAAGAATCTACATAAATGTATGTTTCTCGCATTGTAAAAAAAAGGTACCTATAGACATCAAATTTTGAATAACGTTGTCCTCCACTCGAATATGGGTATCCGGAAGCTCAAATTTTAAATTCTGAATTTGTTTTCTTACTTATTTCATATTTTATAACACTTTAGCTATTTTTTGATTAACAAACTCGACGATTTCAAAGCGAGCACTGTACGGGGGAAAAAAAAAACACATTTTTATCTCCAGTGTGCGAAACTGTGTATCGAAAATTTTAAAGACATGTTCTTTTTAAATAGTTTGTAATATTGCTCTTGAATTAAATTTTATGGTTTAAGTGCGAGGAACATGATATTTAATAAAGTAAGGTCAAAAAGATGTCAAAAAACGTCCCTTTGGGTGTAATGTAAAATCTGAAAGCTATCAGAACTTTTTTACATGTTTTGGGAACTAAATTTTCCTTTATTATTTTTTATATGCTGAACGGACTGCTTCTGTTTTATATTTTTTTGGACTCTGTCCTCTAAAATTGAAAATTATTATTATTATTATTATATTTCGAAGCTGTTTTTGCTTTACTTTTCCCCAGCTGATTGTTCTGGGCACTCCTGCCGAGGAAGGTGGTGGAGGAAAATTACGTTTAATAGAACTGGGAGCTTTCAAAGAAGTAGACATAGCCATGATGGCCCATCCTACCAGAATTAATGCAGCCGCTCCTCCTTTTTTAGCTATAGTCGACGTATGTGGTGTTGATTAAAATATCCTTATTACCTTATTTTTATGAAGTTCCTTATTTTTCATGGCATGCAATTTTACATTTTTTAAGATATCCGTAGACATGTTTATGAAGTAAATAACAAGACTTGTTCCATACAGTTACACTTCAAAAAGAGGACTACTGACCCTGTAGCTATAATTAATTAGCCTTACAGCATTAACATCCTCTCTACAGTTGCCATCTATTACTGTTGCGCCACAGGACAAACAGCACTGAAGCTATGAAAAAGAAAATAAAAAAGAGCAAAGACATAAAAGTAACTTCATAACTAAAGGAATCGCCGTCTTATGCACACTACAGAAACTAAATGTGAAATTGAAGTTAAAAAGGTAATTAAAAACAAAATTGCTGGGAAGAGGAATGTACAAATTGATTAAAAAATTACGAAAACAGAGAGAGGGGGGGGCTGCTGAGAGTCTCTGAAAACCAAGTCAATTTTTCACAATGTGGTCTGGGTATAGCTAGATGCCCCATGGTGTAGTGAACCATGGGTATAGCTAGATGCCCCATGGTGTAGTGAACCCATGGCAGCTATTATTCCATGAGACCTAGTACACACCTAGTGCCCTAGTACACACTGGTGTTACCTACAGATACATACAAATCAAAATACATTGACATATCTATTACGTAAACATATCCTACCTACATGCAAATAACTGCTGTCAGAGCTGTGCCAAGATATTTTTTCACCTGAAGCGCGCCCATATATAAGTATATATATTGAATGATCTAAAATGCACTTTATTCTGTTAAACAGCTCGTTGACAGTGAAAATTACTTTTTTTCCTTTCTTCTTTTCTTACGCGTTCCGACAAGATAATTAGCCAGAAATTAATTAATTTCCATTCACTAGTATATTCAACTTTTAACAGATGTTTTCAGTCACATAATAACTGACAAATTTAAAAACATAATTAAGGTAATTTTCGAATTCGTGTAGCCAATTTGGCGCCCCTTCTAGTGGTTAACCTGAAGCATGTGCCTCACTTGTCTCACCCTTGTTCCAGCTCTGACTCCTGTTACTTACATTGTTAGTAGATAGCACTGTCTGCAGATTTAGTTACATCAATATATACATAATAACACCCCACACTTTAACTATGCAACTTTGTTACAATTCGCAAGCACAATTCCAGATTGTGTAAAGAGACGGTTACATGCACTTTACTGTGGCCTAAATAAGCGCCGCAAGACCTGTGCCAAAAATAGCCATGCAGAAACTATTCAAGGAAAATGTGAGCCCTAGTTCACAATTGTGTTACCTACAGTTAATAACCATAACAATATAAATTAATAAAAAGGATTACATATAATTATCCTACCTAAAATAATAAATACTCTTACTTACAATGTAAAAAATTAGCACCTACTACTTTGGAGACTTGGTTACATAAGGACATACTAACGATGTTTATTTTAAAATGTACAATAGCCAACTTAAAAAACACTGGCTAGGAATTTAAATAGAATACAGTAATACTACATATTTTCCTAAGACGTAGCACATGTGGTGTTGCATTCTGGGAAAAATTTGATGCAATCCAGAAATAATTATTACAGTAAATTTATGTTACACCAGCTATTTACAAGACACATACCCAAGAATATATACACCCGAGTGCTTTCTGGATACCTAAATTATAATGAAAATATACATGCACAAATTTACACATAAATACCTACATAAATACATAATACCTACATAAATACATAGTACATGAATACACATTGAGAATATACGAAATACCAAATGTACTATATACAGACAACATAATTCCAGACTCCAATAAGCGACCGGAACGTTTAATTACTACATAGTAACACAATCAAATATACACAGCTATAAATAAATTGACACTTACACCCTTTTGTCATACAGTCATTTAATATTTTTACAGAAGCACATACCATACCGCAACGAAAAAAAATATATAATAATACTGTGCCTCGTTAATACCAGTGTAAGCAGAACTTCAATTAAAGCGATTACTTAAAGATAATATTGAATATAATGTCAGTCTGACAGAAGAGAACAAGACAACACATTAAGCAATATCCTAGTGATGCTATTACTGAATTCAGTACAATAGTAATTAAAATCCTAAAAAAAGAATCTCTAATTGTTGTTACAGGTGTTCCTTTGCTTTAAGTATAGTGCATGTCAAAGTCTCTAATGCTATTCCTGCAATCTCGCAATGTGAGCTATAAGAGTGTCATTACTACGTCTTAATACATGCCTAACTTATTGCATCTATTCTGGAGCTCATATACGGTTAATTAACCATAAGTTGCATAAGGCCAGCTGAACTGCTAATTACATTTTGCTTGTTAACAAAGTGAAAATTACTAAAACCTAGCAAACATGCAATTGCGTAGTACTGTGAGGAAATTAAATTCTAAAGCACTATGCTATTACTAGTAGGGCTGTATACAGATACCATGGTTGTCCATTTATTAAACTCTCAGTTATTGATTCCTGTTGGATGTTTGTAATCTTACACTTCCGATACTTACTTACTGATAGCGGAGTTTACAACTACACAATGTTTAACTAATTCCCTCAGCTTTGCTTTGGTTATTTTATTTTTCAATATATTGTCTGCCCACTGTGACCAATACTGTGGGCTTGGCTGCCTATGATGTAGAGAACTTGTATCAGTGCAGTTGAAAACATAATGCTCAGGATCCCCTACCATCTGTTCTCCACATCTACAGTTATCTATTCCGCTTAGACCAAATGTATGTACGTATGTCATGAACGGGCCATGTCCTGTGAAGAAGTGGGTGAGCTCTCCATTTGTTGCTAGCAGTCTTTCCCCAACTTCCGGAAAGAAAAGTAAAGTTCTTCTGCCAGTTGGAGCCGACCTCCATCTACTTTGCCATTGTTCCAGCAGGTGAATACATGTCACTATTTTTATGAAACTTGGAGTTTGAGTGGATGTTCTATTACAGCCACGTCGTTTGCCGCAGATTTTGCCAGTCTGTCAGCTTCTTCATTACCTTGTATCCCGACATGAGCTGGGACCCAGTGAAAAGTGGGACGAGCTGACTGCGGTAGTTGCAGCAGGAGTCGTCTAATATCATTCCCATATGGGCTACCCCTTATTGCCCCCAGGCTGGAGGCAGAATCACTACAAATTGCTATTTTACCTCCAACTCATCTGATGCATTGCATACCCCATTGCTGCTTTGAAAGCTGCCAACTCAGCCTGGATGACTGAGTTGTTCTCATTGAATCACCTTTTCCAGTCGTGCTTAATGACACCCTCTTTAATGGCCCAGAAGCCACTACCCGTACCTGTTTCGGTCTTGGAATCATCTGTAACCGAACTTATCTTCTCATGATTTGAGGGTATATACGATAGGTTGACGGTGTCCATTATGTCTCTCTCCAGGATGACCCAATTGCATTGGCCTATAATTCTCATAGTCTCGGGAGTAGTAATGGTTCTGCCAAGAGAGTACCGTCTTCTCCAAGGTGTATCACTCTTGCTTCAACTGATTCCCTTTCTGCCTGAAGGTCTAATGGTGGAATGCCTGCCAGAACTTGTAAAGCGGTGGTCGGTGTGGTCCTGTAACCTTTACATAGCAGTAAAGAGGTGGTCGGTGTGGTCCTGTAACCATATTATTAGCAGTTGTTGCCTCTGCATTGCTAACAAAATTTTTCTCATGCTGGAATTAATGAATTTGCCCCATACTGCTGCATCATAAAGGATGATGCTCTCAGTTATGGTCTTGCATGGTCAAGTTATTATCTTGGTTATGGTCTTGGATGGTCAAGTTATTATCTTGGTTATGGTCTTGGATGGTCAAGTTATTATCTTGGTTATGGTCTTGGATGGTCAGTTATGGTCAAGTCCTTAGGATCCATGGGGGGTACTCCAGTGCAGTCCTGTAGTTCTTAACATTGTGTTTGTTAAATGTGCACTACGCTGTTTCATAGCTTTCAAGTGAGGAATCCAAGAAAGGTTGTTGCTAAGTATGATTCCTAAGTACTTTAGGGTAGGTACACATTTTATTGAGTTCCCATTTATTTTTACTGTTGAGTTACGCTTTAGAATACCTTTGCGCCCAATACAAAGCAGCAGAAATTTCCAGACTATATTATGGCTCTATTCGTTCCAGCAAATCATAACTAAAATGGTTCACAAATAATCAGTCTATCAGCATACGTACATTATAAATCACTATATCCAATATAAAAAAATAGTTATGGCACAAACAATGAGTAATTTAGCTTCATAAGTATTCAGTTTGAGGAATTTGAATTCCTTTTAGAGATTGGTGTTGAATAACGCAGCGAAAACTTCAGTTTGTGATCACAAAATGGTTAAAAATACAAAAAGGAAACTAACGCTAGCAAGAGACAAAATAAAAACAAACTCTGTGGAACAAATACTGTATTTTGAAAGGCGTAAAAGTGTTGCTAGTACATTATTTTCTTTTCTTTTCTTTTCTTTTCTTTCTTTTTTTTTTTTTTTTTTTTTTTTTTTTTTTTTTTTTTTTTTTTTTTTTTTTTTTTTTTTTTTTTTTTTTTTTTTTTTCTTTTTTTCTTTTCTTTTCTTTTTTTTTTTTTTTTTTCCCGATACTGATTGCTGCTTTATCACAGAAATAGTTCGCTGTATTTTTGGTAAACAAATGTGTATAAAAATATTGTTAAAAAAGGCAAAAAATGCATATCCAACAAAGGTACACTGCGCAAAAATAAATAAATAAATAAATAATGGGACAGTTTTACATCTTCCGTTCTGCTGAGACGATTGACGAAATTCAACTTGCCTTTTCATGTCACGACAGCGCGACTTCGGATATGTATTAAATTTATATATAACATTGTTTTAATATAGGTATTTTAACACAAAATGGCACTTTCCCTGAAATGATATGCCATTTTTTTCCATATTTCGATTCTCAAATTATACCAAACTACCAAGTTTTGTAAAAATTGCCGGAGTGTTGTTTTGAAAACTTTAGCTCTCAAAATTTTAGCTCCTCAATGTTAATTGAATTCAATGTATATTTATTAGTATGTCTTTTTTTATTAAACTTACTTGATTCCTTCTTCCAGAATTCGAAATTTAGGCTTAATCCAAATATAATTAACACATTTTTGTGATTTATTTTTCAAATTTGTATTTTTAAATATTTTTTAGAAATTTTTCGAAAACATTTTTGTGTTATATCCTATAAAATTTTTAACATCATCTTAAAATTGATGTATTTCTAGGCACGCTTGCAAAAAAATTAGTTTTTTATTCAATGTTTTCTAAGATATGCATGAATTTACATATTGGCATGTTTTGAAATTTGGCATATATGTTATAAGTGACAATAACGCCAAATGTGGTTTTCGCATTTTATTAAAATTATTTTAAAGAATGAACGATGACTTTTCCCCGCTCGTGTACAATGAAAAAAAGCGAAAGGAAAATAGGTTTGTATAAATTAAGAAGCTCGCCAAGTGAATCAACTATTCTTGGCGCAAACTGAAAAAAATGCGCCAAAATAAATTTTTGAATTTCTTTGTAAATTTCGCACCATATTTCGCAAAATTTAATATTTAGGAATAATTTGAGTCATAGAATCGAAATATAAAAAAAAAAAAAGGCATGTCATCATTTCAGAAAAAGTGCAATTTTGTATCAAAATACCTATATTAGAACAATGCTGTATATAAATCTAATACACATCCTAAGTCGCGTTTTCGAGACATGAATAACGCAAGTTGGCTCAGTGGAACTGGAGCTATAGAACTGTCCATTTTTTTCCCCGCACTGTGTACGTAGAGCTCTTATTAAATCTAAAGTGGCATCTCATGTTTCAAAGGAAAATCCAGCCGCCCCCCCCCCAAAGAGCTCATGAAAAATCTTTAAATATCTTTGTAGGAGCTGTAAACAAAATTATAAACTCTGATTTTAAAAATCTAAAAATCAGAGACTTTGATTAAAGCTAATCAAACAAAAAAAAAAAAAAAAAAAAAAAAAAACATGATGTTCATCTCCTAACTCCGAAACATGTTTCACAGCGTAAGGACATGCGTAAGGACAATAATTTTCACAGCGTAAGGACAGGTGAAAAAAGGAAACATATAGTTACAATTGATGAGGATACTTATCTGATTGCAATAGAAAAAGATCAATTTACTACCGAAAACGAAGAGAAAAAGACTTAATATGTTGGTTCAGAGGAAACAAGAAAGTTTTTCTAAATGTTTTATGGTTTTTACTGGATTCTCTAATAACGGAAAACTTAAAATAAGGTAAGTAAAAAAATATGTCAAAGTTAATTCAGATTACTACCACAAATATGTTTTAACACCTACTTTTAAAGAAGAAATTCAAACTTTTTATCCAAACAATCTGCACTGTGTTAAGTTCCATCAGGATAAGGCTCCAAGCCATATCTCTAAATCTACTGCTCTATTTTTTGAAAAAATGACAAACGAAACCAAAAAATTAAGCTATTCCCTTTAAATGCATCCCACCCAAGTCCCCTGATGTGTCTCGTATGGATTACTGTGCATTTGAACTTTTAAAAGAAGCTCTTTAAAAGCGGCATCCCAAAACATTGGATGAACTCTGGAAGATTGTAAAGGAGAAGTGGAATAAAATGAACCTTGATGTCTTAAGAAAAGGACTTTTATCTTGGATATCAAGATGTAATAATAATAGTTCAATAAAAGCGCTATCAGACTGAACTATTATACAACAAAATTCCAAGGTTTGTTTACATATAACTCTCCGGAAATTCGCTATAAAAATATGTATGTAATATAACCTCTACAGAATCACAAAATCATTTATGAAATCTATTAGAAATGTTTTAGTATAAAAGAACTGATTTTCGCCGTGTGTCACAAACCAAGGTGATAATGTTTGTGAAATGTTGAAATGGAATCTGAATCGCTAAAAGATTTTGAAAATGCAAATATTATATGCGATTTATAATATATTTCTATCTTGTTATTTTAGCATTTAAAGCTGTATAAGGACTTTGCAGAACCTCATGTTTGTCAATGATTTAGCACCCTCTGCGAAAAAACACAAAGCTAATGAAGTGGGATTTTATTCTGTTTTTTTTTATTACTGAAGTTAATTGAATGATAGAATATTTTGCAGGCTACAGTGGAATACAAAGGAAAAGAAGCCCATGCTTCTGCTTCTCCATGGAAGGGACGGAATGCCCTGGACGCCGCAGTAGCCTGCTATCAAAACATAGCTTTACTCAGACAGCATATTAAACCCCGATGCAAAATTCACGGTAAAGATGCCATTTTGATATTTCTTAAAACTCAGATTATTTTGCATTTTGTTCACGCATAACTTTTTTTTAGAAAAGAATATTGCTTGTCTGAAAATTGATCAGTTGCTACGGGTTCTACTCCAAAAATACTGATTTGTTCAAAAAAATTCTTCAAAAAATGAAAAATTAAAAACACTTGAAATTTGCAGATAATTTATTTAATAGTAGTTTAAAACCGTAGACTCGAATTCAAATTGAATGCGGGCTTTTTAGCATAATTCAAAGGCCTTTTTAACAAAGCAAAAAAATAAATAGTTAAATTTAAAATTTCCCTTAAGGAATATTTATCAAAACACTTGAAAAAACACTTGAAATTTCCAGATAATTTATTTAATAGTAGTTTAAAACCGTAGACTCGAATTCAAATTGAATGCGGGCTTTTTAGCGTAATTTAAAGGCCTTTTTAACAAAGCAAAAAAATAAATAGTTAAATTTAAAATTTCCCTTAAGAAATATTTATCAAAACATACAAAAGCAATAATACTAATTACACAAAAGAAAAAAATTCAAATTTATATTCATATTTTACCTGAAGGTTGATACCAATAAGACATTTCTATTGATTATACTTAATTGGTAATTCAAATACTATGTTTACATCTAAGTGTTGTATTTTAGACTGATATCTATTTTACGTAATTCCAATGTGTTGATTTAATATCTTGCTTTAATTAATAGTTACGAAATAGCTTCCTTTTAACCTTAACCGGAAAACTGAAAATTTCAGAATACTAAAGTACCATTAGGTATCAGCTGGGAACTTGAATTTACCAACGTGGGAAATTCTGCCACATTCCCTTATCACGTGGCTTGATGCGCAAGTATACAGTTAAAAAAAACAGTAGTAAACATAGCATACACTGATACATATATACATACTGTTGGCGTGCGTTCGTAATAGATTGAATGCAAAAGTCCGATTAACAGGTTAATAAAATTTTGATCAAAAGAAATATTTCGGATCTCTGGAATTTCCCACAGAAATATTCGTACAGGTATTCACAGCATCGCACAGTATAATCAGTGGTCACACTTAAAAATGTTAAGAACGTTAGACACAACGCAATGCAAAGCGCATCTAAAGAGAAAGCTAACTCAGGTATCTCAGTTCAAGCGAAACTAAACAACTCGCAAGAACAATAACTAAGCAACTGACCTCAGCTACTCTCCCTCTCTGGCCTTTTATAATTTTCAACCAGTCACGAGAAATTTCTAGTACTTTCTGCTTCTCGAGATATATGGAAAGCAATTAGAGGATGGAATTACGATTACAGCTAACACTTATTCAGTTTCAATACAAATTACCGAGATATCCATTTACTCACTGTTAAATGCACGTGCTCCTGTGTTCTTACTTTTCCGGCATAGCTTTCTCTTGAAAATTCGTCTCGCGCTGCATTACACAGAAAAATACAAAGTCTTTTAATTATAATTCTACTAAAACTACTTATCTGAATTCAAAAATCATAACAACTGAAACACAAAAGTAGTAGCCCACGGTACCTGGGAGACGCCCGAGGCTATAGGGGCGTGGTGTTCGCCATCTTGGATCACGTGACAACCGAAAGTGACGATATCAGCGCCATCTTGGATTTCTCCGAAAGGGACGCATTGGACTCCAACCTTTTCTCTTACCTTTTTTACGTTCAATAGCAGTAGCACACAAAAGCTCCGTCCATATCTATGTCTTTAAAAGTATAAGCAATTAAATGTGTTTATTCCCAGGCCTCACAAAATTGCTTTGAGGACTGCATGCAGTCTCCGAAGTAATTTTATGCGGGTTTGAGTATGAGAACACTGGTTTAAAGTTTGAGAACACTGAGTATGAAACACTTTGAGAGTTTGAGAACACTGGTTTAAAGTATGAAAAATGTTCATTAAATGGAGAAAATTATTCCTTGTATTGGGATTCGACTATAATTTTCTTTTGTTTTGAGAACACTGGTTTAAAGTATGAAAAACGTTCATTAAATGGAGAAAATTATTCCTTGTAATGGGATTCGACTATAATTATTTTTTGTTTTGTGAACCCTGGTTTAAAGTATGAAAAACGTTCATTAAATGGAGAAAATTATTCCTTGTAATGGGATTCGACTATAATTATTTTTTGTTTTGAGAACACTGGTTTAAAGTATGAAAAACGTTCATTAAATGGAGAGAAATTATTCCTTGTATTGGGATTCGACTATAATTATTTTTTGTTTTGAGAACACTGGTTTAAAGTATGAAAAACGTTCATTAAATGGAGAAAATTATTCCTTGTAATGGGATTCGACTATAATTATTTTTTGTTTTGAGAACACTGGTTTAAAGTATGAAAAACGTTCATTAAATAAAGAAAATTATTTCTTATATTGGGATTCGACTATAATTATTTTTTTGTTTTGAGAACACTGGTTTAAAGTATGAAAAACGTTCATTAAATGGAGAAAATTATTCTTTCTATTGGGATTCGACTATAATTATTTTTTGTTTTGAGAACACTGGTTTAAAGTATGAAAAACGTTCATTAAATGGAGAAAATTATTTCTTATATTGGGATTCGACTATAATTATTTTTTTTGTTTTGAGAACACTGGTTTAAAGTATGAAAAACGTTCATTAAATGGAGAAAATTATTCCTTGTATTGGGATTTCGACTATATTATTTTTTGTTTTGAGACACTGGTTTTAAAGTATGAAAAACGTTCATTAAATGGAGAAAATTATTCTTTGTATTGGGATTCGACTATAATTATTTTTTGTTTTGAGAACACTGGTTTAAAGTATGAAAAACGTTCATTAAATGGAGAAAATTATTCCTTGTATTGGGATTCGACTATAATTATTTTTTGTTTTAAGAACACTGGTTTAAAGTATGAAAGACGTTCATTAAACGGTGAAAATTATTCCTTGTAATGGGATTCGACTATAATTATTTTTTGTTTTGAGAACACTGGTTTAAAGTATGAAAAAAGTTCATTAAACGGTGAAAATTATTCCTTGTAGTGAATGGGATTCGACTACAATTATTTTTATAAAAAGAAAACAATAGTCAGGGGGCGATGTCATGGAGGGAAGTGAACTGCGTATGAAATCATCTTGTGTATAGTAAGTATAATATTGTCTTAAATATGTACGAATATGTGGTCACCTAAAGTGTAACTTTCCTGCCCAATAGCTTCTTTATTTTTCATATCCAATTAATGAAGGTTGGCCGTCCAGACGGGAAAGTGGGTTAGTGACTGTGGCTGCCGTACTGAAGGGCGCGGGTTGGAATCTCGAAAAAGGCGTGGATGTAAATTGTCTGTCTCTTCATAGTAAGTAACGGAGGCCGACTATAAGGTACACTGCGGAAGAAAAAAAATGTGACAGGCCTATATCTCCCGTTCTACTGGGCCGATTGCCGAAATTCAACTTGTGTTTTTCATGTCTCGAAAGCGTGACTTAGGATATGTATTAGATTTATATATAACACTGTTGTAATATAGGTATTCTGACACAAAATCGCACTTTTTCTGAATTGACATGCCAATTTTTATCCATATTTTGATTCTGAAATTATGCCAAACCGCCAAGTTTTCTAAAAATCGCTCGAGTAGTTGTAAAACATTAGCTCTAAAAATTTTACCTCCTCGGTGTTAATTTAATTTGGTATATATTTATTAATCTCTCATTTTCCATTAAACGTATTTGATTCTTCCATTCATATTTCGAAATTTAGGTTCATTCCAAATAAAATTCGTGTCTTTTTTGATTTATTTTTAAAATTTGTATTTTTAAATGATTTTTATAAATTTTTCAAAAAGAATTTTGAACAATAAACTGTAAAATTTTTACCATCATCTTAAAGTAGATGTATTTCTAAGAATACATGCAAAAAATTAGAGTTTTTATTCGAAATTTCCGAAGATATACGTGAATTTCTACATTGGCGGGTTTTGAAGTTCGACATATTTGTTGAAAGCGATAATAATGTCAAATGTGATTTAGGCACTTCGTTAAAATTATTTGAAAATGGGAACGATGTTACTTTTTCCCGCTCATACGCAATGTAGAAAGGGAAAGGAAAATAGGTTGCCATATATTAATAAGTTCGCCAGGCGAATTATTCAAATTGAAAAAAATGAGCCAAGATAAATTTTTGAATTTCTCCGTAAATTTCGTTCCAAATTTTACAAAATTTAATAAATAGGCATAATTTGAGTCGCAGAATCGAAATATTGGCTTGTCATTTCTGGAAAACTCCTATTTTGTGTCAAAATACCAATATTTGAACAATGCTATATATAAATCTAATATATATCCTAGGCCGCGCTTTCGAGACATGAAGAAAAAAAATTTGAATTTCGTCAAAGGGCCCAGTTGAACGGGAGATATTGAACTTTCCTTTTCTTTTTTTTTTTTTTTTTTTTACGCAGTGTATCTCCATAATAAAATGACCACCATTTCTGGCCTAAGTAGTGGCCAAAGCCTAAAAATGGCTATTCCCCGCCACTAAAAAAAAAAAAAAAAAACCTAACATATACTGTGACAGTATATGCATAATGCATAATACTTATTTTTCTCTCCTTTTTTTTTTACTTATGAGCCTGTATTTTAATCCTATTATTTTGTATCTGTATATTTAATTTGTATTTTTATTTGAATTTTTATTATGAATATGTAAAAGTAAAACGAATGCAATCTGCCCTTGTATGGCCATGTTAATGCTCTTGTTAACATCCTAAAATGCTCCTGAGGCGGCCTCTTGAGGCCTCAGGGAGTTGTTCCTGGTTAGTGGAGGGCGCGGGACACATGCCTGTTTACCTCTGTTAGACATCATCCGTCCCCGTCCTCCGTTATCAACCAACCAACCAATCTAGTACGTAGTAATTAAGTACATGTTGTTGTGACTAATCTTACTTGTTCGACACTAGCATCAGAATTAGCGTACAAAATTCCGCGTGGCAAGCAATGCAAGATTGCGCCTGTCTTTGGCAAGAGCCTTGAGTATCATACAGATGATAGTACGACTTTGCTCACTTCCGTTCCAGCATTCCAGGGGGGGGAAGGGTCCAAAGGTCTCCCACCCCTCTCTTCCCCTACCACTAACCTCTCGAGAGGACTTTCGCCTCTCCGCAAATTTAAAATGCTCTCATGCCGCACAGACACTATGCATTTACAAACCTCCATGCCTTCTCCGAGATTCGAACCCGGGCCCTTGGGTACGGCAGTAAGCATTGCTAACCACTACCCAGATGGGCGGGGCTAAGTACATTTTACACACATAGTAGTTAAGTACATTTCATTCATTTCTAATTTAAGAATTAAGTGATTGGAATCTAAGGAATAGAACAAACATAACTGCTATCTCTTTTATTTTTTTACAACATTGCGTCGTTCTTACAGAGAAATTTGAAATTTTTTTATCATAATTATATATTTCTTTCACAGCTGTGATCACGAAAGGTGGCATCATCCCGAATATTATTCCAGCAGAATCCTGCTTGGAACTGTTCGTGCGAGCGCCAAACAGGGTTGAACTGAGAGAGCTGGAAACCCGAGTCGAAGCCTGCATTACAAGTGCTGCGACAGCAACTGGATGCGAAGTAACTTACAATTTCGCAGATCAGGACTGTTATGAGAACTTGATAACGAATAAAGTTCTAGGCAACTTATATCAGACGTATGCAGAACGCCTAGGTATATAACATATTCACATATTTTTTCTATGAAATATTCACCGAAAATAATAAAAAGATTTGGAAATAAAAAGTGGAAGTTATTTTTACCATGTTTTTAATATACGGGGTGACTGCAAACTCATGGTACAAACGTTGAGAGGCTGGTACAAGACACTGTAACAATTACATTTTGTAAATTAATTGTAATTAATTTTTATCTAATTTTAAATAATTTTTAATTTTAAATAATTTTTAATTTAAAATTAATTTTATATATAAATTAATTTTGTAAACTAATTTTTGTAAATTAATCACATTTTGTAAATTAATTTCCACTTGTAAACGAAGTTATGAAAATAAAACACTTTCCCTATCATTGATTGTTCTTTCCTGTGTTTGTGCTTCGACTCTTTACGTTTGACCATACATTTCTATACAAAATATGATTGTTACAGTGTCCTGTACCAGCCTTCAAAGTTTGTACCGTGAATTAGCAGTCACCCTGTATTGCTTCATGTCTATAGAAACGACTACTCCTAGTTTTGAAAATATGTAATATATCATGTATAGGAATTGTTTTTATTCCTTCAGTTTCTCTTTTATTTCGATTCTTTTTCTTTTCTCTCGAACTTTCACACAATGAATGCGATTAAAATAATGGCAGAAGATCGTTACTGGTAGATTTGTTTAATGATACGAAGAATAAGCCTGACTGGAAGCGTCTCAACAATGTTTGGTTTGTTTAATTGTGAAAAAACAACCGAGGGCTATTTGTTTAAGGGAAGGGATGCCTTCGTGGAGAACATTTTAGGAAAAATTGGCACGTGTAACCCGTTACGCATGAGACAACCTCAAAAACGCCCATGCAGCCAACTCGTTCGCCGAGATTCGAGCCTCGGACTGAACTGCCCCTGTCCACCGAGTTTACTGCTCTGCCACTGGTGAGACCCATTCTATATTTAAAGGAAAAATATTTTTTCAGCCGATTACACCATGTCTCCAAAAGTCCTTCTTTACCTGGCTCTCATTTTCGCAACTGCTAGTAGTAAACATATTACTAGCAGGTACAAAAACATTTTAAACGACGCAAAGATTCATGTTTTCGTATTTATCAATTTAAAAAAGTTAATCTTATATAAAATATGAAATCTAACTCGTTATGCGTTCCACCGTTCCTGTACTTCCATTTGCGAAAATTTTGTTCGTTGTAAAAAATGAAAAATAAAAGAATTCTTTCCCGCGCAACAGAAACTGATCGAGATGTTTACTATTAAAATTCGGGAATTATATTCGGAGGCCGTACTCATTCGTACCTAACTAAAAATAACATATCATCAGTTTAGAAAAAGGTTTCCAATGTTAACAGGTTATGTCATAAGCATTTCTAGGCAGAAAATCGTGAAAAATGTTGATTAATACTTTTTTTTTTTTTTTTTTTTAATGGAGTCTTATTTACAGAATTTTACAGAATTCGTGTTCTGGGAAATACGGGCAGTTGCCAGTTCATAATGATATTTGCATTAATTAAAAATGAAAAATATTTGTACTTTAATTAATATTTTTTATGATTACCAGATTATGATTCTAAAATTAGTAAAATAAAAATTAAAAAGTCTTAAAGCTTTCAGATTTTATATTACGCCCAATGAGACGTTATTTTAATGTTTCGTGGTGTTACCTTTATTTATTTAAGTATTATGTTCTTCGCACTTAAACCATAAAATTGAATTCAACAGCAATATTCCAAAATATTTAAAAAGAGCATATCTTTAGAATACGCTCGTTTTACGCTGTCTTTTACACAGTTTCGCGCGCTGGAGATAATTTTTCCCGTACGGTGTTGTTGCCATTGCTGGCTTTGAAAGCGTTGAGTTTGTCAAATAAATATTGGTTAAAGTTTTACAAAATATGAAACAGATAATAAAACAAATTCCCAAATTTGGATTTCTAGATGCCCATATTCGAGTGAAGGACTACGTTATGCAAAATTTGATATCGCTAGGAACCGTTGTTTTTTCACAGTGCGAGAAACATACATACATTCATGCAGTTTCTTCATTCTTCAATTTCTTTAAATATAATACATGGCGATATTATTTAGTGGCAACAATTTGAAAAGTGAAACACCGTTATATAATAGACGAAGCAAACTGCCAAAACGAAATCAATAGCCCTTCTGGACAAATTTTCCCTTTGAACTTATAATAATTAAAGGTTTAAAATAATTATTTTCTGAAAAATAATATTTTTGAAACATTGCAGATATTCAAAAAAATAGTTTTCGAGAAAATCGTTCTAAAACATGTATTAGATTGGATTAGGTTATGGAAAAACATGCAAGTGATATCTGTTTTAAAGGGTACGGAAGCCTTCGCGGAGGGCTTTTTAAGGGAAACTGGTTCTATTTACTTTATATTTGGGAAAAAGAATAAACCTGTCTTGAAGGCAACCCATTCACAGGTATTTAAAGCCAGTTCAAAGTGTTCAACAGTCTAAATACTTTGTCTACTAGTGGCAGCTAAACATGTGTAAAAAGCCTATATATACTAACAAACAAAATTTCATTCAGCGGCATTTACTAGTATTTTAAAAGTGCTACTAAACAGTCGTGTTGGAAAATAGCAGTGTTAATTTGGGGTATTATTTACTGTAAATGCTTAAATTTTTGGTATTATTTTGAGAAAAGCAATGATCTTTATTCCCTATTAATCAGAATCAATTTTTCTTAGGAGCTAAATTCATCAAAGACATATCGGAGATGTCTAGTATTGGTTCCACAGACATGGGCAACGTGTCTCACATCATTCCTTCCATCCATCCTCTCTTCAGTATTTGTACTGAAGCTGCTAACCACACAAAAGCATTCACGAAAGCATCAGGAGCTCCAGAGGCCCAAGAACCTACTCTGAATGCGGCAAAGGCTATGGCAATGACGGCTTTGGCAGTTTTACGGTCACAGGAGACACTAGATGAGGTGAAGAGAGAATTTTCATCAAATATTCAAAACAATTTGCAATACCAGTGACTCTTAAACATGACATCTATTTTATCTTGAATGTAACAATATGTGACTAAGGCTGAAAGGTCACACTGCCAATGGCTGTAAACCTCAGAATTCTTAGCATTTTTAAAATCTTCTTTTGTGAGAAATTTTTTAAGTTAGATTCATTGTAGATTATATTTGATGATAATTTTGTTATTGATTATTGTTATAAAATTTAGTAAATTATAAACCCTTGAATGCTCTTTTTTGTCTGTCTTACTTTTTATTAATATAAATAACCAATTATTGTAAATAAGTGGTTGAAACTGGAATATTTTTTTCAACTATTGACGATGTCTTATTTTCTGAAGGAAGAATTCAAAAGTACATTTAGGCTTAGTAGATGTAAATTTGTGGCACTTATGTTTAAGTTTTACTAACGAAGTGCTATTTAATTTAACTCTTTTTTTTTTTTTTTTTTTTTTTTGCCACTGGCAAGAAAATTTATATAAATTCCGAAATTGAGAATTTTAAGAATAAATGTATGAGAGTTTGGTCACTGCCTTGCCGAGTCTTGGGATACGGTAAAAGTGGTCTTGCTCTAAGTTTTACAGACTGAGGTTGGATCCTGTTTTATTAAATATGAGTAGTATGAAACTGAGCGTTCAGTGGCAGGAGGCGCACTGCGCAACAAGCCTGCAGGCGGTGCGCGCATGCGGAGGTGCAGCTAACTGTTAAGGAGGAGTATTTTATAATTCTTAATTTAGTTGATCAGATGACGCCACAACTTCAGATTATCTTTTATTGATTTTCTGCCGTGATTTCCTTTGTTAATCAATTTTGAGCCTTTGCATTTTTCATCGTATTCCAATTATTTTAGTTCATATATAATTGTCAATTCCTATGTACTCTTAACGGCGCTTATTTTCGAATTTAATAATTGATGCAGAAGTCCTTAATTTTAGAAGTAAATTTCATTTCTACCATGTATTTTAAGCTTTTTAATTTCCTATGTACTCAATAGGCTTAATTTTAACTTATCTCTTATATTTTCATACTCTATGAATTAACTTTATTTTCCTTCATCTTAATTACATAACTAATTATAATTGTTTATTTCATCTTACACAGAACTTTTATCATAACTTTTAACCAATACTTTTAATGGTAACATTGTTATATTTTATGAGCGTAATTATTCAGATACGCGTTTCTATTTATTATATTATTTAATTTAAGATAAAAATTTTAACTTTTTTCATACTACTTTTCAAATTTGTGATCTTCTACATGTTCTATATTTTAACAAGTTCTTTTATTTTCTGATCATACAAATAACTTTTACTTAGTTTTTAACTTTCCTCAGTAGTCTTTGTAAGTTTATGATGTCGAACATACTCTGAATTTTAACTAATTTCTTATATTTTCACATATACATGGCTTTCGTTTAATTTTTAACTACTTTCATACATTTTAACCCTCGCAATTTTTAACATAATTTAACATTTAACTTGTTTATTATATTTTCTTACTATGCACATGAGCTTAATTAATTTTAGATGTAAATTTTAATTTTGACGGTATTAATTTCCTATATACTCTGAAGTTTTATTATCTGAAGTTCTATTGACTCTGAAGTTTATAGTTAAATTTTAGATGTATTTTTACCTTTCTGCCTGAATTTTCTGTTCCTAATACCACATTTACTTTCTGTAATCTTAATTATATTAATAATTTTTATTGTTTATTTCCTTTTAGATAGATTTTTAATGCCTTTTAACCAATACTCTTAATGGTAACTTACGTATGTATTTTACGAGCGTTATTATTAAAATATTAGATTTTATTTAATATATTATTAAATTTTAGAGGTAATTTTTAACTTTTTCGTACTTTTCAATGTTTGTGATCTTCAGCATATTCTGAATTTTAACTTAATTCCTACATTTGTTAAACATATATCTGATTTTTAAAATTTTTTACATGTAATTATTAACTTCCTTCCTACTTTGTAACGTTTGTAGTTTCCAACATACACTGAATTTTAACAAATTTGTTGTATTTTCCCACTTTATACTACATGACTTTCATTTAATTTTTAACTATTTTTACACTTTATACTACATGACTTTCATTTAATTTTTAACTATTTTCATACATTTTAACCTTCCTAATTTCAAACCTTCTCTTACTTTTAACTTAATTCCTATATTTTATATTTTTCTGGTAACATACATGAACTTTAATTTTAGATGTAATTTTTAACTTGTTTCGTACATTTTAACCTTCGTAATTTCAAAAGTACTTTAATTTAATTATTTATTACAATATCCCACCATACACATGAACTTTAATTAATTTTAGATGTAAAATTTTACTTTTTTTTTATACTTTTTACTTTCTAGTATGCAACGCACTTTGAAATTTAAATCATTTCTTATAGTTTTCGATAGTCATAACGCTTTTGATTTGACTTGTTTTACTATTTCCCTTAATTTTGCATGTTTAAAACTCTTGAACATACTGATGGATAATTTAGAAGTCAAACAACAAAAATCAACGTTATATTTGCAAATTTTGTTGTTTGACGTTGAATTTTGTTGTTTGACTTCTAAATTGATACTTGTTCGGCATGTTATTTTATCTTAATTATACTGATGGTTTTCAACTAAGCATTTTACTTTCTAGCTGTTAACTATTATTCATATGTAAGTCGTAGAATACTCCTTATTTAGTCTATATTTTATAGTTTTAATTTAATTTGCCTATTCTGCAGTTTCTCATTCTGTAGTAATCTTACCATGATTTTTACTATTTTATTTCATTATTAAATATATTCTTATTTTCAAATTTTATAATTTCCTGCATATTCAGGTATTTCCTTACAATTTTTTATTTCATTCATTATTTGTAGGCATGTTTTTAAGCTCTCCAGTGATACTAATGTTTAGTGTCGAACTCTGAGAGCCTTTAAGTTATCTTGATATATTCCGAATTTTTTTAGAATAAAATCTCAACTTTCATTCATAATTTTAGAACCTTATTCACTGTGTCATGTACTCATACAGATATCTTTCCTTGTGTTTTGAACGTTTAGTACTTTTCTAGTGTTTTGAACGTTTAGTTTCAGTATATTTGGCTAATTGCTTGCATCCATATAATTATTTTAACACTTTGAATAAGATGAAATACGTTGAAACATTCTCAGCCTTCTGGATTTAAAATGGCTCAGCATAGAAATAATACACTTTAATAGCTGCTTTAAGTTTTCGCAATGAGAAATAATATGTTAAGACGACAGAATTAGAAGGATAAAATAAAAATCAAAAGTGTCATTCTTGTACCAAAGCATACATGGTTATTTCATACAGCTATTAAGAAAATACACTTGAAAACCCCACATCTATATTTTGATTTGCATGGACATATAGAATCGTATAATATATTTCCTTTCTGAATATAGTTTTCAAATTTTTCTTTATTTGTGCCTTTTCACGTGAGCTATAGACACTAAATTTTACTTCTTTGTACGTTGTAATCCCAAAAAAGTTCGGGTATCATATTTCAACGAAAATTTCCATTTTCACCGCTTTAGAAGCCATTCGAACCATGTTTTTGCATTGACGGACAGGACAAAAGACTCCTTTTTCCAAAATGGATTTTAAAATGGATTTAAAAAAGATTTTTTCCTTGACGTCTGTACGAACGTGCTTATGTATGTATCTTGCATAACTCAAGAACTAGCATCCGTAGAACGCCTTAACTATGTAATGCCTTAACTATGTAAGTTTTTATTTTATTACCTTTTCCATGCACTAATTACAGATATTTCTCTCCTCATGGACAATTTTCAAGCGAAATTACCAATTATTTACGTTACATGTGTAGAGACATTAGGATTTTTTCGAAGCAGAAGAAATGGTAAATGAGCAACTCGCCGGGAATCGAACCACGGACCTCTGGAATACGCGCTCAGAGTGCAGATACACAATGAAGGCATGCTAAGAAGGTGGTAGAAATATCTTATACATGTACATACCTTATACATATACATGTACTAGAATGTTCTCGAAGGTACTGGTCTAGGGGGAAGATCCTAAATTGCGGAAAGTTAATTGGAGGTTGCGTGTTCGCGTAGAGCAAAGCCATCGTATTTTTTTATATTTTACATGTATTTACCTTTGGTTGCAATCACAATGGCAACCGCAATGGGATGTACACCGATTACCAACCACAATTGGGTGTGCGCAACTACGTGTTATAGCAGTCCCATATAAAAGATTTCAACGTTCTACGGATGCTAGTTCTTGAGTTATGCAAGATACATGTAATGATATTTTTAAATCAATTGATTAAATTAAATTCTAATAATATTGCTTAATAATGTGTTGGCGATTCTGTACCTAAATTGCATCCCTGTTCCTAAATTTTGGCGAAATCCTTCTTTAGTATAAAATATATTAACCTGTGGCGCCCGCCAAATCGCCAACTCATAAATCTGTCATATTACATAAAGTCCTTAAGAACACTCCTGATGAGAAGATAGCGTCACCTCGTGATTTCAATTAATATCGCTGATTGGGTGAGCCTCGTGACGCACACATATGTATAAATAGGGCTTCTGCTCACGGTACAAAAAGAACGCTTGTGAGATGGATGCTAAAATTAACCTACCACTTTATATTCCAAAATTTGTCTCATTCCTGTTGCCCCGGCTGCACCAAACAAATAATGTATGAGAAATTACATTTCATACATACATACGCAAGTAAGCACGATCGTACAGACGTCAAGGAAAAAATCTTTTTTAAATGCATTTTAAAATCCATTTTGGAAAAAGGAGTCTTTTGTTCTGTCCGTCAACGCAAAAACATGGTTCGAATGGCTTCTAAAGCGGTGAAAATGGAAATTTTCGTTGAAATATGATACCCGAACTTTTTCGGGATTACAATACGTCCTTTACTTCCTACAAAGAAGTAAAAGTTAGTGTCTATAGCTCACGTGAAAAGGCATTAAATAAAGAAAAATTTGAAAACTCTATTCAGAAAGGAAATATATTATACGATTCTATATGTCCATGCAAATCAAAATATAGATGTGGGTTTTTCAAGTGCATTTTCTTAATAGCTGTATGAAGTAAGCATGTATGCTCTGTTACAAGAAAGACACTTTTGATTTTTATTTTATCCTGCTAATTCTGTCGTCTTAACATATTATTTCTCACTGCGAAAACTTAAAGCAGCTCTTAAAGTGTATTATTTCTATGCTGAGCCATTTTAAATCCAGAAGGCTGAGAATGTTTCAACGTATTTCATCTTATTGTTTGTTTTCATGAGTCATTCTGTGTACTGCGTTATCGTGGAAAGCTTTTAGGTTCTACAAGAAGTTACTCAAATAAATCAAAGTCCGTAACTTACTACAGTAATTGATTATTTTTGTTTAGCTAAGGCTGTCTTTTGAATTAAAGCTCAATGAGCAAGCGATTGCATTGCGTTTAAGAAATGTATTACTGTGTGTTCGAGATATCAAAGTTGAAAACAGTATAATTATTAATCTTGGAAGAAATTCTTCGATAACTTGCGGCAGAAACTAAAAAACAAAAGGAAAAAAAAATTATTTTCATCCTGATTTCTGCCAACTATCATTCCCATTGTTTTACAACAAATTTATCTCTTCATAACAACCCATTCAGCTAAAGAAAACATTGAAAGCTGTCGACATTTTACTCAGTAACATAATCTAAACGAGCAGTATTACTCGTAAAGCGATTTATTTTTTGTAGCGTAACTTAAACTTACTTAAGGAAAGAATTTGAATTTCCATCATTTAAAAAGACTAGAAATGTCAGAGGAAGATTTCGCCATCGTTTGTTCAAAAATAGACGAAGAAAAACAGTTCTTAAATTCGGTGAGTCAGGATATATGGAAGATGCCTGAACTTCTGTTTAAGGAGTTTCATGCACACGCTATTCTCACAAGCGCTTTGGAAGGTTATGGGTTTAAAGTACACAAGCACTACTTCATGCCTACAGCTTTTAGGGCTGAATATTTCTCAGCATCAGGTAAATTCAGTTTTTTATATTTTAGTGATTTTATATGGTAGAGTTTATTCATGTTTATTTTTATTCATGTTTTGAATGTAAAATCTTTAATCTTTGTGAATTATAGAACTTTCATCTCTGTTTCTTAACAAAATGTGCTTACATTTCATTTTTTTATTAGTCCAAAGGGGCAATTTGCCCCAAAGGGCTATTAATTTCGTTTTGGCATTTTGCGTTGGTTCACTATAAGCGGCGTTTCACTTTTTAAATTGTTACAACCAAATATCAGAGCCCTGCAATATATTTAAGGGGAGTCATCACTTTTGCGCAACACAAAAAGTGATAATTTGGGCTAATTTTCGAGTTTTAATAAGTCACAATATTATGGTCATAGATATATGGAATTTTCAGTGTATTATCTCTATACACAGATGATTATATTTCTTGATTTATTCTACTAATAGTGTATATGAATTTGTTTTATAAAGAAAAAACAAACTGTACTTTTCGAAAATTTAAAATTTGTACTGAAGTACTGCGCGCAAACTGACAGTAATACAAATTTAGTTACAGTAATAATTTTTACAATTTTATTATGTAAGATCATTAGGTATGATTCTTCACCTATTTAAATTTTAAAATGTCAAAGAATATTAACACCATTAGAATAAGATCAGCATTAAAAAAGTTTTAAGTAAAGTTATATAAATACTTAAAAAATAATTTTTCGAAGAAAAAGGTAGGTGCATTTTTTTCAGCAATATCGTCATGTACGAACTATGAAATTTTTAAATCAATAGCTATGATAAATTTTTTAAAGAGTGCGCGGAAGTATGAAAATCACCATTTTGAGAAAAATGGTTAAAAGTTAAAAGTTTGAAAATTTTCAATGTATTTCTCTCAAATAACACTAAAACAGTTTAAAACTGCCCAGCTGCATACATTATACACTCCTGTTCTTCAATAGCTGTTATTGCAACAAGTTTGGCTCTTTTTTCTTGCTTTGCGAGCATCTATTGTTAGACTCGCTCTTTGATATGTACACTACTAACCCTCCCCTGTGGGGCAAAAATTATGAGTAGGTTCCACGTCGGCTGAACATTTGTGGTAAAATATTGCCCATACTGCTTTTTGCTTGTCTTTTACGGAACTGCAATGTTTTCTAACAGCATTTACATAATAAATTGTCAATTGATTTGTAAGGCATCTGTAAGGCGACCTTTTCCACTAAGAGTTTTACTGTCACTAAGTTTCCTTCCCTTCATTTCTTACTTTCTCTTTCGTAATTTAGTGGCCATTCCTTTCTGAATGTGTCCGATACATTCAATTTTACCAAAACACATGACGTTAACAGTAAAAATTAATTAAGACACAATAACACGCCGAATAAATACTAATTCAGAAGTCAAACAACAAAAATCAGCGTTATATTTACAAAATTTTCACAGGACTAGTTTCAATGGTTTTACCGAACCACCATCTTCAGCTGCAAAACCGCAAAATGACGCTTCAGCTGCAAAACCGCATTTTGCGGTTTTGCAGCTGAAGATGGTGGTTCGGTAAAACCATTGAAACTAGTCCTGTGAAAATTTTGTAAATATAACGCTGATTTTTGTTGTTTGACTTCTGAATTAGTAAAAATTAAAGCAATCTATGAATGAACGTTCGTAAGCAGCTGCGCGTACAATTCTAAACAAACATCAGGTGATAATTTAAATGCTCGATCTGGCAATATTTACCTCAGAATCGTTTGCTTTATTTCATAATTTTTAAGGTTCTAATTCGAGTATCGTAACGCTGTTTGTTTTAACAGACTCAGAAATGTTTCTAAATATACAAATAATAACAATAATATTAAATAAATAAATAAAATTCGATTTTTTTGAATGTGTAAATAAGATGATGACTCCCCTTAAAGAACTTAAATAATGAAGAACCTGCATCAATGTATCTATGTTTCTCGCACTGTGTGAAAAATAACTATACCTAGAGACAACGAATTTTGAATAACGTACAAACTCAACGCTTTCAAACCGAGCAGTGGCAGCACTGTACGGAAAAAAAAAAAAAAAAAAAAAAAAAAAAAATTATTTCCAGCGCGCGAGACTGTGTATCGGAAATTCTAACTAATAACACTAAAACAGTTTCATCACCTTATTTACACAATCAGAGGTATTCTCTTTTTAAATTATTTTGTGATATTGCTGTTGAATTGAATTTTAATGTTTAATTGCGATGAACAAGATATTAAATAAATAAAGCTAACACACTGTAAAGTCCCTCACTTGAAATTCTAAGTTAATGTTGGAAGTGAGGAACCTAGGAACTGATAAGCGAATAATCGCTAGAGTTCGAAGACAGGAAACAACAAGAGAGAAGGGTAAATAACCCTTTATTATTTCTATAAGATTTAGCAAAACTCCGCCTGGGAGTGAACAAATAAAGTCCGCACTTTGGACTTGAACTTAAAAGACTAAGAATTAAACTAAAACTAAGATTAACTAACTAAGTATAGCCGAAGCTATCAAGGTTCAATGAGAGTTGGCCCCTTAACCTATTTTACTACGAAGCTTAGCAAGGGCCTGAGTACGGCCGAGCGTAAAACAGCTTTGAGAGAGAGCGGCCAAAAAGGCAGACGCGCGTAGTTCAGAAACTCTGTCTCTCTCTCTCTGTCTCAGTAAGTAACTTCGTGGTTTAAATACCGCTCCTTCTCATTAAATATTCAGCAAATTCCAAAACTACGTTCTGGCCGGAAGTAGTAAGTTGAAGTTAAGACAGGAAAGGAACTTTAACTTAAAATTTAACTGTTAATAAAATTAACATAATTCTTACAACACAAAACGTGAAAAGAAAAGCGCCCCTTTGGGCGTAATGTAAAATCTAAAAGGTTTCAGATTTTTTTTAAGGAGGGGGGGCTATTTTTTTTTTTTTTTTTTTTTTTTTTTTTTTTTTTTTTTTTTTTTTGTATTTTGGTAACGCTTCATATTGTAAATAGAAGCTCAAACGTTGTGCTTTTATCTCATGTAATTGTACATAAGTTCTAAAAGCCGTGTATGATACGTTTAAACTTGTTTGAAATTATGAAATCAAAGTTTAATCACCAGTTTCGAAATATAGAAGCATTAGTGCATTTTAAAGAGTATTTTACAAATGACATAAGATTGTAAAACATTTAATTATGTCATTAAATTACAGTACTGCAAGATTTAGGAATATATATTAGGCAAAATGTGGGAAAAATTACACGTAACGAATACTTTGGTTGTTGCTAGTAGTATTTACTCTCTGTTATTCGTACTTTCATTCTTCTGAATATCGGTGCTTATAAAAATTTCGGCTGCAAGAAATCCTCTTTCTTTCATGGAGATAATTTCCACAGCAAAGAAATATTATTCTTTTGCAAGGAAATAATTTGTATTTCCTTTCGAACGCTTTCGTATATTTCTTTATTTGCATCTTATGACACGGAATTGAGAGTATTTCTATTAAGATTACTGTACTATAGTGTTTGTTCTTATATTTTGTCATTAACTTCCTGTCTGTTCAAAAGCAGCCTCCATCCTTAATCTCTTCGTGTCTTCGTTTCTATCACTTCTGTAAGTGATATCAGTGTTGGGAAGAGACTAATCTTGTTTATCTATTGACCTTGATTTCTACAAAAGTATTTATTTTATGTCTTTTTCTTTACAGTACGAGAATAATTTTCCATTGTGAAGAATTGTTTAATACCTAAAAATCTCTTTCAGATCACATATTATTTTCGTTTAGCTTAGATGAAGTTCGAACCATAAGGCGATTTTTGGTTTAGGGAAACAAGTAATATTGTTGCGTGCGTACGGGTTCGTTATGAAATGAATGCACAAATCCGATGAAAAATGAACAAAAATTTATTATTATCACAAGAGAAATGCTTAAATTTTCTCAAGTTATCATGCAGTATCACAATATCTCACAGTAGTTATCTTTTAACTACTTAAATGTACAATAGAACGTAATTCAAAACAGCTAAAGAACGCTAATCCGCGAATTCGCTATAATCAACAACGGCAGTTTTCTAAACAACAACAAACTAAGCAGCAACTACAAACTGAGATGTTTTCCTCCTTTTATAAGATTTTAAAATCACGCGCTAGAATTTTCCAGTACTTTCTCGAAATCAAAAAGAGATATTTATTTATTTAATGCACGCGCTCTTGTATTTTCAATTTTCCGGCTTAGCTTTCTTTTAATATTCGTCACGCGCTGCACTGCGCGAGAAATAAAACCATTTAATTTATAATTGAACTAACATTAGCTTTTTAAATACCAAATTCGTAACACTGCCCCCTTCCCAAGGACTGCACGTCCCGGGCAGTACAATCCCTGGACAGGAAGCTAAACTTACAACTGTAGCATAAATGCATTAATAAGCATTACATTACAATAATAAACAACATGAACAATAAATGCAATACATAAAGCAAATCAAATGCTATCAAATACTAAATACAAAACAAATACTAAATACAAATCAAATACTAAATACAAATCAAATACTAAATGCAAATCAAATACTAAATACAAATCAAATCAAATACACATTTATAAACAAAAAGGACCATGGTCTGACACTATTTACAATTATTTACATTACGTACTATGGCCATAGTAATGAGCTAACCTGTCGTAATGAACGACTTTAGGTTTAGAGTTCGAAGACTTACGAATCCGAACCACGACGTCATTCAGCCTTTTTAGGACTGTATACGGGCCATCCCAAGGTGACTGTAATTTCGGACAAAGTTCTTTCCGTCGAGTCGGATTCCACAACCACACCTTGTCTCCTTCGTGGAACTGATGTTCAGTAGCTCTTGTGTCGTAGCGGGTCTTCAATCTTCTCCGTCGCCAAGTTGACTCGCTCTCGTGCAAAGTTGTGCATCACTTCAAACCGGGCCTGGAGATCTTGAATATATTCCTCAGACGATGAAGGAGCAATCTGGAGGGCGGCCCCAAACAATAGATCACAAGGCAGACGAAGGTCA